TTTTAGTGCACACAAACACAATATAATACACAGGGTTCTTTTTGGAAAATAAATGGTCCTGTAAATAAATGCCAGATATGTCCAGTTTTAAGATTGCATGTGCCTATGAAACTGAAAAACTACAGTACACAAAATTGTCCATAGGTAGTGCTTTAAAAAGCCATCACAAGCCATTAATTTAGTGTTAACAGTAAATGATGGCCCTTAAATTGTTGCTCTCACTCCAGTGGTGCTTGGAAATACTTAATATTGGTGTTGGAAATGTGCTTTTCCTATGCATTAGCACCCAATAGCACATTTGCTGACTGCATTTTTGTCGGGAAGCAGAATGCGGCCTGGCCAGTCTGTACCTAAATGGGAAGGCTTCCAGGAAGAATGGCATGTCCCTACACTTTCCCTACTCCTCTAGAACCTTTCACTGATGCTAAGCACTATCCCTGACAGATGGGTGACCTATCCCTACTCTAGCCACTTGCAAAATGATCACCAAATCCAGGAGCCAGGATCTTAAATAGACTCTGCCTGACCCAAGATGGTTGCCAGAGTCACATGGAGTTCCAGCATTCAGTCGAATAGCTGCCTTCCAGTGACCGAGGAAACCATAGAGGAACTAGGTTCCTGTCGACTTCTTCCTCCACCTGCACTTCCGCTGTGGATGATTGCCATCTGCAGTGGAGAAAGTAAACTGCACCAGACTGCATGTGTGTGTAAGTGGGGACTGGGCCTTTTAAAATGTTGTTTTTTTTTTTTACTTTGTTAAACTTTATTTATTTTTTAACTTTTTTTTCTTTTTTTACTACCATAGGGGGACTGACAAGCTACCTACAAGATAGCAGTATGGTGGGAGTGGTATTTATGTTCTTTAAGCACATGGGCTCAGCGTCATTCCTGGAGAGGATTGCACCAAGCCAGGCTAGAGGCAGGCTTGCCTCACCTGGTACTTTCTGCCATGTGGCCATAGGTGGGGTGACCTGAGGGCCTGAAGTTAGAAAAATTGACCCTGGTTCTTTGGTACGCTGACTGGGAGGAGCTCTCTGTCAAAGATCTGTCTGATATCATTGGAGGGTATCACTTGGAAGATTAGAAGGAGGCTACCATTCTGTCCTTGGGCCTTGTGAGTACAGACACTGAGAGATCTTGGGGACTCTGTGTGCTTTGCTACCCCTCTGGTGCTTGATAGAGTGGGTCTGAGAAAAGGGAACAAAGGCTAGTGTTCTGAAGAGCTGGTCTAACTGTTTGCTACTGCATAGGACTTTGCTCAGTTTTCTGTTACTTTTGGACTGCCACAGTCTGCCATAACTGGCTTGTACCTAAAGAGCTCAGCCCTGCAACTACTACTGCTGCTAAAGGGACTTTGCTCACTCCTAAACTACTTGTTGCTATTGTCAAAGAGAAGTCTACTATCTGCTTCTAGCCAGGACTTCAACTGTGCTTAACTAAGAGATCAGTTAGGTGTCCTCGGTGTGAATAGTTCTAATCTTGGAGTATTCTACTAAAATTCTCAATCCCTATCCCCAGTTCTACAATAAAACTCCAAAACAACATCCCCTAGACTGGTCATTGGAGACAACAAGCGAAAGTGTGTGTGCACCTTGCTGTGCATAATACTTTGTGTCTGGCTGAGAGTCAAAGCCAGTGGAGATGTGGTCAAAAATACAAGGGGCTCCTTCGGGGGTACTGCTACAAAAAAAAAAAAATGTTTAAGCTAAAAAAGGCCGTACAGTTGAGTGTTGGCTTACCCAAAACCTCCCATAGTTCAAGGACCTTGCTGTGTGTTATGGTGTTCTGGGTTAATATTATAGAGTTTAGTCTCCAAATGGGCAGGATTGCTGAGCGTTGATTGTCGTCTAATGAAATGTTGATTGGAGCATGGTCTGACCAGGTTATTGTACTGATTTTGGATGAATTTATGTGTTGTAGTGTCCATTTGTCTGTAAGGAAAACGTCAATTCTGGAGTATGTAAAGTGTGTAGGAGAATCATAGGTGTAGTCTCTTTCGTTGCTATGTTGACATCTCCAGATGTTGAAGGTTGGTTTAGGTACTCTTCTGTGGAAGGACGAATCCAATTGTGAATTGCCAATATTATTGAAGTCTCCTCTGATAATGAGTCTTGCTGTGTGTGTTATGGTGTACAAAAATTTGCAGTGACTGCGAATCTCAAACCAGCATGATTCACCTTGAACACAGGGTAATGATGACCCCAAACCTCATCCCTTCTCTTGATTAGAGGTAGGACTAGAACCATGTCAGTTCTGAAAAATGTTTGATATAAATTTTGTATTTTCCAAGAATATCTCCAGTATTCTGTCTACAGATACCTTGCACAAAAAATATAACAGACTATATGCCCAGCATTTAATGATTCAGTTATGTAGAAACCAGGTCAGAGAGGAAAAAAAAAAAGCAAAAGTTTGATTTGGAGTAGGGGTTGCTACAATGGAAAACAATGAAATGTGCTCCTGTTTGAGATCTATAGACATTAACTTCAACAACTCATAACCATTCTCTAGTATTAGCATGGGGAAGTGGGAGGGTTGTGCTGAAAGTCTTTGCCTCCCAGGACTGCTGTCTGCTGGAGCCTGATCCTAAGTAGTTTATGCTTACTTGCTGAAGGGTACATCCAGAAGGAGTGGAGCAGGAAATCTTTGGTGGAGGCTTCTGTGCTTTAAAGTGTCTTGGAGAAATGGATACAAGCTGCTGCCAGTGGACATTGTGAGACATTCTCCCTGCTCATCCTAGATGGTACATGTGATACCTGGTACACAAATTCAGATTGGTGGCCTCACCTTAAAGGTCCACAACTAGTATTAAAGTCGACCTACACCCATTATATGAACCTGTTCTCATGTGCTTCCTTCCCCTTCTCTATTACAGAACTATGACATATTTTAATAAAATTGTATAGAGTAGTTTTCGTTTTTTAAAGCAGCACTTCCTACTTTCTCGCTTAGGCAAGAATTACGTAGGTACCCTCTTTCTGCCACCTGGGATTGACATGTCACACTTTCCCAGGGTGTCGTTGAGGGCTCAAGCGCACATGCTGAGACATGGCATGGCATTGCGCTGTGACAGGTATCTGGGATCTGGCAGAACCCAATATTTACACATCCACCAAGGGTTCTAGTACATGTGCATAGACACCATGATGCTCTGCCATGTTCCAGATACTGGAAATTAGCAGCCTCTGTGCACATGTGCAAGAATCCCTGGCATATGCACACTAGGCTCTGGGGTACCTGGCAAAAATGTGTGCACATGCTGGATATTTAAAATGGTGGCATGGCAGAGTGGCAGGGTTAGGGTAACAAAGAGGGGAGAGAAGTTCTGCTTTAACTGTTTCTAGACGGCCTGATATCTTTTTGCTGCTGTTTTCTGGAATCTTGTGCCCTAACCCTCTCTCCTGACTTTATTGGGCTAAAACTAAGGTGTCAAATTTTCTATTAGTCCATGACAAGTCAACAAGTCTTCCCTGAGAGTTGAAATACTAGCCCCACTAGCCACTTGGGGGCCTTTTTCAACCACCCAAGGAGAAGGAGGTGCTACATACAAAAAATATTTAGTTTTTTTTGCTGCTATTTACCAGATTGCAATAATTAGAAGCTGCCTATAAACTGGACACATCCTGTGCCAAATGTCTGTCATTTTTTTTTTCTTTAGAAAAACTAAAGTTTGAAGTAAAATGTGAAGAAACTGTTATAGCTTTGGTCCTAGTTATGCTGGAAACATGAAGGCGTATTGGAACAAGTTGTCTGTAAGAATAATAATAGACCGAAGAGGCGGAGGTTTTCTGTACAAGAAAAAATAGTAAACTTGTGTACAAACACAAGCCTACTAACAGACAAAATATTCACTGTTCACTTACAAACAATGGACATTTATCAAGGCAGGCTGCCAGTGTAGACAAACATTATTTACATGTTGCTGTGCTCTTCATCCTATACATTTAGAATATTTTCAAAGCGGTAGTAGTAAACTCTCCTTGTTCATTTTTATCTACAGGCAAGCTTTTATTAACCTCCCCAGCGGTCTAACTAATCAATATTTTTGAATGTCAAAGCAGTACATTGTTTTGCATGGAAATTGGTTGTTTTATATTGTAGGCCTGTAATTCTTAGGAATAACTCACTTAAATCTGTCTAAACAAGAGTCTAGTAATCAGGGGTGGACTGACAACTCATGGGGCCCCCAGGCAATAGGGGATCATGGGGCCACTGTGTCCTCGCCCACACTCAAAAAAAGCCTATGAAAGGTACCAGGGGCATCTCATGGGGCCCCCTACTGACCCCGGGCCCTCGGGCAGTGCCCGAGTGCTTGAATGGTCAGTCCGCCCCTGCTAGTTATCATCCTGGGCATGATAAGGTTTGAAACATGAAATAATAAATTATAATATAATAAATACTTATAAAAAATAATAATATAATAATAATAAATGTAAGTCAATAATGTAATCAAACCAAAAACACTGACATTTGAAAAAGAGCACCAAGTTCGTAGTCCTGTAATTCTTAGGAATAACTGACTTAAATCTGTCAAAACAAGAGTCTAGTAAACATCCCGGGTATAATAAAGTTTGAAACACGAAATCATAAATTATAATATAATAAATCATTATAAAAAAATTATATAATAATAATACATTTAATTCAATAATGTAATCAAACCAAAACACACATCGCTGAGTAAAGTCACAGTCAGTGAATTTTTCCCGAGGAATCACTATCGCTTAATTCTGCAAGTGATTCTAATTCACTATCACTGTATTCTAGCTGGTCTAAAAACGGTTTTGACCTAAAGGGACACTTTTTGGATGCCATGGACGTTTCTCAGTTTCCAGGCAGAAAGAACAGTAAAAGTGCAGGCAGGGCACAGGACAAAGCACTAGGGATAAAATTTAGATGAAATGGTTTGATACAGTAATGTATCCCTAAGAGATTACAGCAGGGCTTCAAATTTCAAGTCCTGAGCTACTAGCCAGGCCTTAGAGTTACTCGCCACCAACAAAACACACACAAACAGAGACACCTGTACACACACACAGACATGTACATACACACACATACACACACAGAAACATGTACACACACGCACATTCAGACACATGTATACACACACAGACAACTGTACAGATACACACATGTACATACACACAGACACATGTACAATTGTACATGCATACACAGACACACACAAAACACACACACACGTACACACACACATGTACACACACACAACAACACCCCCTCCATAAAAAGTTGCAGTACATCGTTGTTCACTCACAGATCCGGGTACTGCACTCTAGGGGGAGGCAGAGAGCACAGCATACAATCCTTGCTTTGCTTTCACTGCGCTCAGCTATTGAGTAGTCTGACGGCTCCCAGTACCAATGACAGATCTGGCATGAGCTCCGAGCCTGCTCAGCAAGACGGCCCTGGGGGAGACACTCACCCCCACCATAAGTTCCACTCGCCATTGGCGAGCAGGGACGCCGAGTGGAAATTTCAAGCCCTGGATTACAGTGTATTGTATGTATGTAAAATTTTGACTTTTTTAAATCTCCCAACGGTTCCACCCCTTGCAGGGAATGGAATCTGGAAGACGGATGCCAGCATCGGCCGGCAGACATGGCCGGGGGACACAGTGGGAGGACCTCACAGGATCGTGGGACAAGGTAAGGCTTGAGAGATTGCTGCAGTGTAATCCTGAGTGTTGCTCTGGGTTACCGCTTCTGGTACTGAAATTAACCCCGAGCTACACTCGGGATTACCGCCAGGAAGGTTAAAGCTTACCTGTAGGTAAAATGAATATCTCCCAAACGAGTACCATTTAGGAGCAGCAACTGGTGACATGACCGGTGCCTGCGCTCTGAAGGAACGACATACCAATGCCGTTCTTGCAGAGCTGTTTGCCGTAGCTGAGACTGTCATCAGTGGCTTTGCCATTCAAGCAGCCATAGCCCACGAACCTAGAAGGAAGACCAGGTGAAGATGGAAGCCCGTTCAGTGGTGACAGCGTACCGCTGGAGGGCTTTGTTCTAAGGTAAGTCTCTCATGATGTGATAGCGATGCATACTAGCACATTATGATATTCCCTTGAAGCAGGAAACTTTATTTTTTCCAAATGCGTTTACTACCGCTCTAAGTTTGTCTGCAATCTCTTTACAAAGTAGGGCAAAGTGTTGTTTACTGTAAGCTTAGGAAATATTACCAACATTTACCTGTCTAAACTTTTTTCTTTATGCCCAGTGGCTCTGTCACTTTGCCCACCTAAGGCACAGTGACATGTTCTATTAAATAAATAAAATAAACAAATTCTCCACACTAAGGCCAGGTTCCCATCTGTGCAGCCGTGCGGGCAGCGTTTTACGTGGGCACGACAGCCCATTCATTTGAATGGACTCCCATGGCCCAGGACATGCAGGGAAGAAGTCCTTGCAGTTCTTCAGAAATCGCAAACGAGGTTCCCAGTACGGTTGCGATTTCCAGTGTGGGTAGCATGCCATTAGAATTAATGGCACCCGCCCACAGGTCCCACATTCCTCTGTGTGGGTGGTGTGGCTGCAGGTACTTTTGCGGGTCCCGCAGCTGCACCACCCGCACAGATGTGAACCAAGCCTAAGAGCTGATTCACACATGTGTGGTGCAGAGTGAAGCTCAGGTTTCACAGCTAATTGATACAGTAGTTGTTGAGCAATTCATGTCAGGTTTACATCAAGTTCAGGTCAGGATTTTATCCTGTTCACACATATGCGGTTTAGAAACGTTTCCCATAGAATTCAATAGCCTGTAATCCGCACCTGAACCTGAAACCACACTGCCAGTGCACTGGACATATGTGAACAGGCACCATAGAGAAAAATGTTATTTCACATGGCATGCGAATTGGATGCGGTTCAAACCGCATCCAATCTGCACATATGTGAGCAGTGGCGGACTGACAATTCATGGGGCCCCCGGGCAATAGCAGATCATGGGGCCCCTGTGTCCTTGCCCAAACTCAAAAAAGCCTATGAGAAAGGTACCAGGGGCATCTCATGGGGCCCCCTACTGACCCCGGGCCCTCAGGCAGTGCCCGAGTTTCCAAATGGTCAGTCCGCCCCTGTATGTGAGTCAGCACTAAGTGGAGGTTCACATATATACAGATTGGATGCAGTTTGAACTGCATACAATGTGCATGACATGTGAAATAACATTGCTTCTTATGGTGTCTGTTCACATATGTGTGGTGCAGATTCAGTGCGGTTTGAAAAAGAGTCATGCATGCTATCTAAGCAGTGCCTTCAGGTTATGGTGCAGATTACAGGCTATTGACTTCTATGGGAACCGTTTCTACATGTGTGTGGACAGGATAAAATCCTGAGCTAATCCTGTCCTGAATGTGATGTAAACCTGACATGAATTACTGAACAACTACTGTGTCAATTAGCTATGAAACCTGAGCTTCAATCAGCACCGCAAATGTGTGAATCAGCTCTAAGGGCTAGTTCACACCAGATGCAGTCCAGTGCATTTTTTTTTCTGCATCAAAAATGCATGCATAATGTTTTCCATGTATTCAAATGGCTCTAGTTCACACCAGTGCAGTCAGTTCCAGTCAGTTTCCAGTGCAGAAATAAAAAGTAGAACAAGCTGCATTTTTTCTGCACAGAACCATACTGGAACATGGCAAACTGCATCAATACTGCACCAGAAAAAGGAGTGTGGTGTGAACTGTAAGCAAAAACGTATCCAGATTGCATCCGGAGTGCATTTTTGTAGAGTGAACTGGCCCTCAGGGCTAGTTCACACTAGATGCAGTTCAGCGCACTTTTTTCTGCATCAAAAATGCATGCACAGTGTTTTCCATGTATTCCAATGGTCCTGGTTCACACTAGTGCAGTCAGTTCCAGGTGCAGAAAAAAAAGTAGAACATGCTGCATTTTTTCTGCACAGAACCATACTGGAACATGGAAAACTGCATCAGAACTGCGTGTGGTGTGAACTGTAAGCAAAAACATATCCGGAATGCATTTTTGTAGAGTGAACTGGCCCTCAGGGCTAGTTCACACTAGATGCAGTTCTGTGCACTTTTTCTGCATCAAAAATGCATGCACAGATTTTCAATGTATTCCAATGGCTCTAGTTCACACTAGTGCAGTCAGTTGCAGGTGCAGAAAAAAAAAGTAGAAGATGCTGCATTTTTTCTGCACAGACCCATACTGGAACATAGCAAACTGCATCAAAACTGCACCAGAACAGAGTGTGGTGTGAACTGTAAGCAAAAACGTATCCGGAATGCATCTGGAGTGCGTTTTTGTAGAGTGAACTGGACCTAACTGTTCCTCTGTTACAGATGGGAATTCAAATTCTCTGTATGCTCCATCCTAAATGGTGTACTTGCACAGAGTAAATGATCTTCTCCCACTTCCAGTGTTCTGGCCAGGCAATTGGCCGTAAAGGCTCAGGCACTGCACACAAGAAGGAACAGGTGGAGGTCACGTGCTTCCTATACCCAGAAGCATCAGTTCTTCCCTGTAAACTCTAACAGAGCAATGGAGGGGTGGGTGAATGCAGAAAAAGCCAAAATCAGTGAGTGTGGAGTTGTTTTTTCAAGAGAACCTGTCATTTTGCAATGAATGGGCAAAGTGTAAGATTTTCCCTAAGCTATTATTTCAAGTATCTGAAAGTTCATTTTTCCATCATAGCACTGGAGACAGGATGGAGGCACTGCCCACCCGTCTCTTCCCATACAGCTTCCTTTACATTACAATAGAAGCAGAGACAGGAGGGAGAAATGCTTTTTATTTCTCTCCTGTGTTACTGAAAATGTCTGTCAACACTACCACAGCAGAAAGACGGACAATGACAAGGTTTGCTGACTTACAGGAAAAATCCAAAAACTGCACATTGATAGGAAGGGTAGCAAATAGAGAAGGGGATTGATATTACTACTCTGATGGTATATCCTTTAGAAAGAAGTAATCCTAAGCAGGAAAACCTTGGCTGAAGAACTACCTTTCATCTAGTCATTAGAAAGCTAAAATACTACATGGAAGGTATGCAGTGATTTATCTATTATTTATTACAGGTACTTATATAGTGGCATCAATTTACGCAGTGCTTTACATATATATTGTACATTCACATCAGTCCCTAACCCTCACAGGGTATACAATCTAAGGTATATAAAAAAGGGGAGGCATGAAAACAGATTCACAAAAAAATGGTTACATTATGGACAGAATGCGATACAAAAAGTAGTTCCAAAAGTTATGCTTTATTACAATACACATTATTATTATTATTATACAGTATTTATAAAGCGCCAATAGTTCGCTCAGCACTGTACATTAGAAAGGGGGACAGAACATGTGACAGAACAATACCAATACAATGCAAAACATGAGGGGATTGAGGGCCCTGCTCTTTGGAGCTTACAATCTAGGAGGGAGGGGATGGTGGCACAGGAGGAGATAGCTTTGGGGGATGGAGTGGTAGGAAGAGTGGAGGAGGTCGGTCAAGTTACCAGGGGGTAGGGTAGGCTTCCCTGAAGAGATGGGTTTTCAGGGTGCGCCTAAAGCAGAGGAGAGTAGGTGATAATCTGATGGGTTGGGGCAGGGAGTTCCAGAGGATGGGTGACACCCTGGAGAAGTCCTGGAGGCGGGCATGGGAGGAGGAGACCAGGGAACTAGAGAGAAGGAGGTCTTGTGAGGAGCGGAGTGTGCGTGCTGGGCGGTACTTGGATATTAGGTCAGTGATGTAGTTCAGGGCAGTATGGTGGACGGCTTTGTACGTCAATGTTATGATTTTGAATTTGATCCACATGTGGACAATTAGGGTAAATACCCTGATTCACCATCACCTCAGTGTGAGATAATACAAAAACAGACCTAAAATCACATAAAAACAGTATCAAGACCGGTCTTTGTAATAATGTGCTGCAGACATAGTGACAAAGTACTGTCTAATACATTTGCAGCACCAGCACATTGGTTACACTACCATGTAGGGAGTATATAAAAAAATTATACCATATAGGCATGACATGCTTAGCAATAATGTCTAATATCAAGCACCAAGCAACAATGATGTTATTACCCATAAACCTAATCAGGCAATAATGGTGAAAAATAGTAAATGCATATATAAGGATGCAGATACATCTATATTAACCAGATGAGGTATTGCAATAATTATGATTTAAGGCAAGAGTAGGTGGTGAAATAAAAAATTGCAGTAGATATGTCCATATTGCATGGATACAGAGTCAGTAATGAAAGAATCATCGTAGATGTCCTCAACATAATGGAGGTAGCAGGGCCCTGCTCCAAGGGGTTCTTAACCGCGGCATGCGGGCTATTAACCACCTTAGTATTGATGTCATTGTGTAAATTGCTGGGTCCTCCGTATCTTGTAATAAATGTAGGGTGCCTTGCACCTATATAGTGAAACATACTGTCCCAATCCTGTAACAAATTTCGAGTTTCACCTGTAGACTGTACTCACAGTTGTAGCTAGCTAAACAAATACATAAATCATTTTACTAAAAAGCAA